AACTCCAGGAACTGGCACGGGGACAGGCATAGTGACTACACCTGGGGCAAACAATCCACCTTTTGGGATTGGACCGAGTAGCGTTGGCATAGACGGCAATGCAGCTATGCATCTCCAAAACACTATCTTTTTCACTTTAGCCCTTTTGGCTATAAGCTTTTTATGCTCAAGGGTCTAAAAAGTAAAAAGAGGAGATAGGAAAGTCCATATTTAGAAGAATCTTTGTTTAGTTTTATCTTTCTTCTTTTCTGGTCTTTCTATCTTATTATGGTTGCTTTGAAAAGTTGGAATTGGATTCCCATAGTTAGTAATTTTTTATTATGTAGAAGAATCTGATCCACGCCCTTCCCTTTGAAAAGTGGCTGTATTTTATTTTTTTTTGAGATAATACATGAACGTTTCTTTTACCCCTCCGACATCTAGTGTGGACAAGTCGTGTAACAGGTGAACACATGAGTCCTATATAACGTGTTACATGACAATTGGGCAAATTTTACTTGGCAAAATCATAAAAATAAACTAAAGATGCAAATATATTTTCTAAAATATTTGGAACGTGGGCATCAAGTTGGTCATAAATTTTCACGAGGAAAGGAGAAAAATGTAAATGACACGAAACCAAATGATTGAGGTATTTGATTCATTCACGTCTATCGAATAAAAAAGATAATAACAATAATAATACAATATACGTAATAATAATAGTACACGTAAATAACAAGTCGTATAAAGCTATTATGCAAGTATAAATAAACTATTACCTCTTTTGAATTTATACGTAATTCACTTCTGAGTGATAAGTTATTTTTATTTATTACAAGTCTGTTCTTAAGCAGACAATATAATAACAGGTGTGTTCCTCATAGGCTTACATGTTAAAAAAAAAACAATAAATATGTCTTTTAGTTTGACTTTAATTTATATTTATTTTTTTTAATTGTGTGTATATATAAATAAACACTTAAAATTATATAAAATTAAATAATTAAACATATATGTTGTATGTGACATTCTCCTGACTAATTTTTGCATCTTATTGGCATATTATGTGTGTTATATCATGTATATCTATTTGTTTTTTTTTATACAAATTTAAATGATTGTGCCAAAAATATGTGCAAATGAAAGGATATAAAAAGCTTATGCTATTTTTAGTCAATTTTGTCTATTGCCTTTTAGCTCTATTATATATCACAGAGGCAGGGGCTGCAGATTTGTTATTCATGAACTCATCATATTCTGTCTCCAAAAGGGACCATTCCAATTATCTATATTGTTCGTACTTTTCAAAATATTTGTATTATTTGATTATCTAAAAAGACACTCAGTATCAGATCCTCAAAAAAAAAAAAGTATTATATTCAGAGAATTTGATACGCATCTGTCAATATTTTTGAAAAATTTAAGCAATAAGTGAAATATACGAACAACTTTGAGTGATCGCGTGAACGACTTGGCAAAAAGATGATTTCTTTTATGACACCTCATGATGATAATATATAGTTTGCCAGACAAACTTGACAAGTGTAAACTACAACATGGTTGTCTCACATATTTCCCCTTTACATTAGGTATGTAAACTCATTTGCATATTGGCAATCTTGGAGGTGACTGAGATACAAACAAAATGGACCAGGTACCACATGCATAGTGAATAATATGTTATTATATGTATATGTTCAATAAACTTTTTCCTAGTATATCGTTCATTGATTATCGCACTATTATGTTGTTTTTGCTCACTTTTGGTAGACTTTGCACCGTTTCCTTGTTACTTGCTATCTTTTCTACACGGGTCTCTTTTTTACTTTAGGTATTCCGGAAACAAACTCTCGTTGAGGTAGTCGGTAAGGTCTGCGTACAACACTCTATCCTCCCAAAACTCCACTCATAGGATTTCAGTATATATGTTGTAATGTATATGTTCAATAGTTGAGTGTTTTCTTTGTTTTGTTTAGGATTGTTGGAGCATTTCTAAGTTTATTGAAGTTTCAGCTGAAAGGGTGTTTTTGAAGATGTATTTGGTGGAGAGTAAAGCAGGGGCTATAGTTTGTATGCTATTTTCTTTGTTATTCTTAGGGACATGGCCTGCTTTGCTTACTTTACTTGAAAGACGAGGTCGTCTTCCTCAACACACTTATCTTGACTATACCATCACCAATCTTGTCGCTGCTACGCTCATTGCTTTTACTGTTGGTGAGATTGGAACGAATTCAATGAAACAGCCAAATTTTTTAACGCAGCTTTCTCAGGTTAGTGGCTAGTCGTGGAAGGCGTTTGAGGCGCCTCATACTCATTTAAAAGTGAACAACATATGATTCTGTTAAAGAATGAAAAAGTTTCATATCAGTAGTCAATGAAAAGTATGGTCTCTTTATAAGGCTTGATCAATCCTGTGCCCTTTGAGCTAGCTTTTAGGATGTGAGTTAAGTTCATGGATATAGAGGATTTGAACTAATTGTGTTGTTGTTGTTGTTGATATTGTTTGTCATTTGGAATGTATGGAGTTTCACATGTTGGACTTTTTCGACTTAAACGTAGAGTCTAGTTAATGTGTTATGTTCTTCTGACTTAATGGTTGTAACTTTTCCGCGTTTCCAAGAGATAGTTGAAGCTGAAGCAATGAAAACCATGTTCCCACTATTGATCAAATATGTGTATTTCAGATAGATTAAGTTGAAGAGTTAGAGTTGTGATCCTTGCTGACATAACTTCATTATGTATGAAAGGTGCAGGACAATTGGCCTAGCGTCTTGTTTGCGATTGCTGGAGGTGTGGTCCTTAGTCTTGGAAACCTTTCAACTCAATACGCATGGGCTTTCGTTGGCTTATCAGTCACCGAGGTCATCACTGCAAGTATTACGGTTGTTATAGGTATCATATTAGCTGGAGTGATCATTTACATTTTACTGATACCCTATAGCAGATAATTGGTATCGATATTATGTTGGAATGTGATGTGTGTTCTTGATTTGGTTATGGCAGGAACGACGTTGAATTATTACCTTGATGACAAAATTAACAAAGCCGAGATTCTTTTTCCTGGCGTTGGATGTTTCTTGATTGCTGTTTGTCTAGGATCTGCTGTTCATGCATCCAATGCAGCTGACAACAAAGAAAAACTTGAGTATTTTTCAAATGACTCTAACAATGGGGTGGGGTATGGAACATATTGCAATTTTGAATTCTCCAGACGGGGAGGGAAGACTTTGTGTTTTACATCTCTTGTGCAATATTTTCGAAGTCATTAGCTCCTCGTGGGCAGGATATGTGGAAATTCTGTTGAAGATTTCACTACTGATTGCGAGAGATTGATTTTAGTTTTGTTAAATCTTTGTCAGGACAAAAGATGTCACTGGTTCTAAACCAACAAATACAAATAAAGGTACTTTAGCTTCTGGAGAAGTTCATGTCTTCAGATTGATGGATTTCGTGTTCACCTTTTTAGTTAATGTATAGACGTTCTGCAGTCGATATGAATGACTTGGAGAATGGTGAGGAAAAGGCAAAGGCTGGAACTGCGCTGTTCCTTATAGAAGTTGAGAACAGAAGGGCAATGAAGGTTAGAGATTGTTACTCAAATCACCACTTCTGTTAATTGATTGATTTCGTTAATCTAGTACACACACGCGCGTAATGTGTTAGATTGTCAATTGTAGGTTTTTGGGAAGAGTACTTACATTGGACTAGCTATCACCTTCTTTGGTGGAGCTTGTCTTTCTCTGTTTTCCCCTGCATTCAACCTGTCTACAAATGATCAGTGGCATACTCTAAAAGATGGAGTTCCTCACTTGAGTGTATACGCCGCGTTTTTCTACTTCTCAGTTTCCAGTTCTTTACTGGCAATGATTCTCAACTTCACGTTCTTGTACCGCCCTGTGCTAAACGCACCTAAATCATCGTTGATGTGTTACGTGAACGATTGGGATGGCAGAGGTTGGGCTTTTTTGGCTGGACTTTTGAGTGGCTTTGGAAATGGTCTTCAATTTATGGGAGGTCAAGCTGCTGGATATGCAGCAGCAGATGCTGTTCAGGTTTGTGCATCTCCATTAAACTAGTTTAATTAATTATTCAACGTTTTGTTTTTTTGGATAATTTGATTTTGTTCGCGCTTCAGGCACTGCCTCTCGTGAGCACATTTTGGGGTGTACTATTGTTTGGAGAGTATCGAAGATCATCAGGAAGAACGTATACGCTTCTTGCAGGAATGTTGATCATGTTCATAGCAGCTGTTGCAATCCTCATGGCATCTGCAGGGAAACGCAAATAGATGTAGCTTTTAGCTTATCAATAAAGAAAAACTATATACATTCAAAATGAACATTGAATTTTCACAAATAAAACTTTATTTCAAATAACTAATGCTACACTTTATTACTCATATCATCAATTTCTAGGTATTGATAATTTTAGGGATCGATTGATAGAGTATATTAGCTTAATGTATTAATAACACTTGATTTGGTACATTTCTCTAATTTATGCATAATTAATTAATGCTTTTACAAAGTTTGGAGCTTGTATGACAAGGTGCACTGAGAATTACTGCATTGCTGGCATAATTGCTCAATCGAAAGCTTAAGAATAAAATATTGAAAAATTATGGCCACAAATTAATTTCTATTTAAATGCAATACAATTTCTACAATTGTTGAAGATATCATATGAACGGTTTTAAATTTTTCAAAATATCAACAAAAAGGAAAAAGTTCATGAAAAATATTATCTTTGTTATTTTGAGATTCCTATGACAGTATCATGGTCACACAAATATTGATCAATCAAACTTTTTCGATTTCAATTTATTATTTAATTTTAATTTAATATGATATTAAAATTATCATGTGAAAAATTAAAATAAATATATGTTTAAAAGGAAAGAATCGAAAAGTAAAACAAATATTAGCCATCGAGATATATTTACTATTTATGTGTTATTATGCACGTGTATATCACGTGATACAACAATATTATTAGAATATTGTTGGCGCCAAACAGAATATAAATAAGTTAGTTATTTTTAGGAAATATTAGAAATCGAAACTAATTAGATTTCTTCTCTCTCATTTTTTTTTTCTCCAAAACCCTAATCCTTAAATTGTATGAATATTCAGAAACAAAAATTCAAATTGTATTACTCTGTTTAATTTTATTTCAATCAGGTAATTCCCATTTCAAGTTTTTTTTTTGTTGTTCCTTTTCTTGCTTTTGATCATTAATGTTTTTGGCTTAATGCTTTCATTTTTTTTTCAATTTTTTTATATCTTTTTGTGATTTAATCATGTTGATAATAATTATATTTTTCTTCAGGGAATTGATTTTTTTGTGAAACAGAGTTTATTGGAGCTGTTTCATGTGAGGTAAATATTTTTTTTTTGTGTCACATATTATTTAATTGTTGATTATAATTCCTTAAAGTGATTTCTGTGTTTTATTAAAACTCAGTTTTTGTTAAAATTTGGTAAAGTTTGTGAAGGGAACTTCTATAGGGTGTATAGTCGTCTATGTTTGCTCGAATCCTCCAAAAATGTTGTTTGACGTGTATTGAATTCTCGAAAAGTAATGCATTTTTGGAGAATCTGACGAAGGGTGGGGTTCCAAGATCCGAGGCGATTGAAGTTGTTAATTGTGTTCCATCTTGATTGTGGAGAAATTATGAAATGTAAAATGGTGGTTATGGTATGTTTGTAAATTTGAAAACATATTAAACACCATTTAAAATTTTGTGTGTGGATGAAATGCAATCCCTCATGATGGAGTAAATATGCGATCCTTTTTTTTTTTCAAATGCGATTCTTTTATCGTCCATGTGCATTATGTTATAATCTATGTTGCTCAGACTCCTCAAAAAAGTCTAACATGTGTGTGTCAGATTCTTCAAACGTCTGGTGTGGTATTGTAAGTTATGAGTCCTCGCAATTTAGATTATAATAATAACTTCACCATTCTGCATTAAAAAGCTACGATATATAGTAGCTGAACCTGAGAAATGGTGGTCGTGCTGTCCCTCTCGAGTGGACCTATTTGAGATGCGAGAATTGCAAGTTGGATTTACGCGTTAAATGATGCTTGTTATGAATGTTACATTACCCTTTAAACAACAATGCATCTTTGTGTGTGTCCCCGGTTGTTTTGTTTTAACTGAAATCTCTTTACGCGTCTTAGTAGATGGTATTCTAAAGGTGATTTTTGATTGTGTTTTCAGTAATGGACGTAAATATGTAAGTGGAGGCGACAACAGATGCACCAGTAACCGAAAAAAAAGCTGAGGCCTTTGTTCCGCCAACTTTACTCATGGATTCTGACCAAGAGAGTATAGGAAGACGAGATGGAGATACCACATCAAATGAAAGTGTAACAAGATCTTCTAAGACTTCAGAATATTCCCCTTCCGTCTCGACTACCTCGTCAGATGGTTCTTCGGATGATTACATCCAAGTGGTTCCAAAAATAATATTCACCTCAGCCTCATCAGGTGTAGCATCTTCCAAATCTCATTCTGATGCAAAACTTCTATCTCAAAGGGTTACATGTAATCAATTGAATGAATCCTCGAAAACGACATCTACAAGTTCCACCTCACAGGTTTCAGATGTCACTAATGAATCTGAATTCTCGACGATATCACAATCTCCTTCTATACAGGTGATGGAACGGAAGGCAGGTTTTGATCCCAATAGAATTCCCTCATCCGTTTTTGGGAGTAAGGCTTCATCCTCTAAGGTTTGGAGCGCTGCTTCTATCGAATCATTGTTCAGTATACACAGTCCTGGAAGTGGTAGTTCTGCAAGGAATGATATTGCGATGACTGATGGAGATTTGAAAAGGGACAGAAAACGAGACAATGGTGCAGAAGTAGACAAAAATGAAAAAAACAATAAGTCTGAGCTAACGAGGTTTAGGCAGACTTTGCCAATTACAAAAGGAGGAGAATATAAGAAAAAGACGTTTGATAAAGAAAGGAAAGTAAATGTCGTAAACAAACCATCAGCAACAGGAAGTTCAGATGAAGCAACAAAGAGAATAGTCTGTTTTAGAGAGGAAATGAAACTAGGGGAGAGCATAATCCGTTCTGCTGCACTTGGCTACCCCGATGGAAATGTATGCTTTAGGGGCAACGTTGTTCGCCCTTCTGATGGAAATGGCACGTGTTCTGCCGCTCCTATGTGAGTAATGTTCTCCTTTCCTTTTTTTTTGCTAATAAATGTTTCGCACATGCATTTAGTTCCTTGGGTTTTTCCTGAGTTGAACAAAGAAACAATCTGCTTAGTTGTTTATTTGTTAGTTAAGTGTTTTTTATTTAATGTATATATACATATAAACACAGCACCTCTATTAACGTAAAGTTGAACTATACACAAACGCCACAATCAATACACTTCAAGAAGAATGTTCAAAATGCAGCTTGTCGGTACTTATAGTACACGAATACACAGAGGCGACTATCGCTAATATGTGTTTGGTAGCAGATGACAGAACAAGAATACAGACAGACAAAGTTCTGTGTCATTTAACATTGTCTAGAAAGATTTGACAGTAAAATGCATCAGACCATATTTGTAACTGGCTATCCAAGCTAAGGATTATTGATTACAAAAATTGGTGACAAACTTGGCTTGAGAAGAAACTTAAAGTGCTTCATTTAATATGGCCAATTAACTTAGCTTGAAAGGTATTACAAAATTTCCAATTAGAGGATCTCTTTGCTTTAACAAGAAAAATATCCGTACTTTTTCTGTACTACAAATAATATCTGCTTAATTTATTTGCATGCTGGTTTTTGCTGTTGTTGTTGTATAAGAAACCTCAACTAATAAGGTAGTTTTGTATCAAAATAAGATATCATGGCCAGTCAGGTATTGATGCAACGGGTTTTGGTCTAAAGAAATTGGCAATTTTAGGTTTCTCTGTTCACGCGTATTCTTTGATGTCTCATGGACTAGTATTTAGTGTGTCCTATTTGAGTACATGGATATGCAAATGGAAGTTCCTACTTCCCTAATATTGTGATTTAGCTGATATAGAATACAAACTGTCTATGTAGGGAAAAGAAGTCTTCTTGGTGGTCATGTTGTTCTTGTAGTTGTTTGTCAAGCTGCTCGTTGAAGTGCTCAGGTTGCTCCTGTAAGTGGTTAAGCTGCTTAAGTTGCGCTTGTAAGTGGCCAAGTTGCTCTTTTAAGTGGTTAAGCTGTTCGAGTTGCTCTTTTAAGTGGCCAAGCTGCTCAAGTTGCTCTTGTAAGTGGTTAAGCTGCTCGAGTTGCTCTTTTAAGTGGCCAAGCTGCTCCTGTAAGTGGTTTAGCTGCTCAAGTTGCTCTTGTAAGTGGCCAAGCTGTTCGAGCTGGTCTTGTGAGTGGTTAAGCTGCTCGAGTTGCTCTTTTAAGTGTCCAACCTTCTCAAGTTGCTCTTGTAAGTGGCCAAGCATGCCTGTTGGCTGCTGCAAATGGCCGAGTTGCAAATGCAAGTGTTTAACCTCGCTGCGCTGCTGCTGCTAATATCCAATCTAACATAGCAATTACAAGTGCCTGACCTGGAAAAGCTCTGTACTGCACTATAGCCGCGCATTCTACTTTGAGGGAACTATTACATGATCCCATCTTTCCAGGTATACATACCTCTTTTTCATTTACTCTGTGACATTTCAACTTCATCTAACGACATGATATTGACATGTAGTGATCACATTCCAACGATTCTTTCTATATAACGGTTCATTGTAGATATCTGATAAGACCAACTTTTTTTCATTCTGTGCAGTTTGAAGGATGAGGAAAAGGATAACCTAAGCACCATTATAACCCATTCAACCTCGATCTCTTGGTTCGTGTGGTTCGTGCCCTTCTTTCAACCGCGCTCTAGATGTTGCTGAGAATGTGAATGCTTAATATCATGTAGCCCCTCCTTCTACGTCCGATTCATTCATTAAATCTGCTAGCATGCTGTAGAATGTGCTCTAGTACTCAAGGATTAAACAATATCCAATATTTTGATACTTTTAGTGTCTGTATATAGGCAAGTGAGGAGGTTTACTTAGTTCATTTCTTTCCCTTTTCAAGTTGGGACAAGATATGGTTGCAAGGGAGAACATAGAGAGGTAGTGCAATCTTTTCTTTTGCACTAATGCTAGTATATTAGGAGTTTAAATGACACAATTTGTATTTCCACTCATGTTATAAGTTTTTTTATTTACCAAATAACAAGTTCCTTTTATATATATATATAATTTGTAGCTGATTGGAGAAAAAATGTCTATACGTAATTGATCATGATGAAAAGGAAATGTGATTGTTGTAATATAACCTCATCTAAAAAGTCTAAAGTCGAATTCTAACTAATCTCTATCGATTATGAATCTTTTCTTACCACAAATACCTCTTGACCAAGTGAAGTAAATTTTTGGCGTTGTTCTCCGGAGAACCCTAGTTAATCAATTAATCTATTTACTATATCGTGTCAAAACTTTGTTATTTCTAACCTCCACTTTTAAATCTTAAGTCATTAATTTTTTAATGCTTCAAAATGACGTTCACCAAAACCTAAACTTCACATTCTTTCTCGATTAAAGTAAAATATTACAACACTGTTAATTGAAATCCATCGATTAATATGTAACTGAACAAATAGATATAATTATAAGAACGTCTCAATTATATTAAATACAAGTGTAAGTTCATTCAACAAGTAGTTCCATCAATATCCTAGAAAAGAATTTAGTGATATGTTTGAATTAACTTTTGACTTTTTTTTTTTAATTTTAACTTAAAATCAAATACTCAAACACTAAAAAATAACTTAAACTAACTAAATTCAAACATGTTCTAGGTAAATTAAACACAATGATACATATAAATGAAATACGAAAAATGTTATACATGAGCTGAATTAACTTGACTAAGTTTTTTCCTCTTTTCAGATTTGGTAACAAATATTAAATAACATGATCTGTCTCAATTACACTAATTTACAAGAATTTATATTAATGAAACTGGCTTTTACATTCCATATTCCCATTTGGTAACAATCAAAAAATATTTATTATTTTTTGCCATTTTATTCACAATCTTTCCTTTTTTCCAGTTTTTTTTATGTTAATTAATCACTTTCTTCTAGTTAATTTTTTCAGTAAGTAGCATCTATGAAGCATATCATCTTTCCTCTTTCTTTTTTTTTCAAAGGAAGTAAATTCAATTTTCCCAAAAAAATTTCAATCCTAAAAAAGGCAAATCTTATTTTCCCCTCTAATTTTGTTTTTTTTTTTCCAAAATAATCGACCAATGAGGACGTTCCGTGAGTCCACATGGAGAGTTATCATTGGACAACGTCAAAAACCATTCGATCAATGAAACGTTCCTCTCTTATATTCTACCGTCAAACTATATGAACTTTTGACTAATCCTTTTTAAATGTTTTTTTCCATTATATTAATACGAATTTTTACTTTACATTTTATAGTATTTTCTATATGATTTTTAAGTATATAAATGTTTATTTTTAAAAAATCAAGTTAACGTAATTTAATATAGTCTAAAAACTGGTCAAATTGACTTTAGAAAAACGTTACGTTACGACTAAAAGTATGAGAGACCCTGGAAAGCTTCTAAAAGTCCACTTTTGGACCCAATGAAGATCTACTCACAGTATAAATAACACATGTTTGAAAACAAAACATATCACATTAGAGCAGTTCTTCACTAGTAAAAGAAGAAGAAGAAGAAATCTCATATTTGTTTCTTCTTTTTTGTAGTGTCAAATACAAGAATCTTTTTTTTTTCTTCCAAAAAGATTGTTTCTTTGTGTTTGAATTTGAAAACTGAGGCTTAAAGACATGATTTTGACATCTGGGGTTGTGTTAATGACAATGCAAATGCAGGTTTCAAGAATCTTGATTTTGTTCTTGATGGCATTTGCTTTCTCTTCTTTTCCATTTTCAGCTTATGGAAAAGATGAAGTTTTTGTTGTTTCTGAGAAAATGGCTTTGTTGAAAATCAAGAAATCATTCATTGATCCTTTTGGGATATTGTTGAGCTGGAAATCAGACAATTCCAGCTACTGTTCTTGGTATGGAGTGTCGTGCAACGCGAATTCATCAAGAGTTTCAGAGTTGAGAATCAAAGGTAACAATACTAATAAACTTGTTGGGAATCTGTCTCATGCTGTTGCATATCTCGAGGAGCTTCGGGTTTTGTCTCTTCCATTTCATGATCTTTCTGGTGAAATTCCTGTTCAGATATGGGAATTACAGAATCTTGAAGTTCTTGATGTGCAAGGGAATGCCATTCAGGGGGATTTTTCGAGCTATAATTTTACGAGGTTGAGAAAGCTGAGAGTTCTGAACTTGGGATTCAACAGAATTGTAGGGAGGTTTCCACCTTCTCTAGCAAAATGTAGGTGTTTGAGTGTGTTGATTTTAGCAGGAAATGGTGTAAATGATGTCATTCCAGGGTTCATTGGTGGTTTTGAGAAGTTAAAGGTGCTGAATTTGTCGTCTAATCGATTGATTGGACGTGTTCCTGTCAACTTTGGATATAAATGCAGGGATCTTGAGCATTTAGATCTGTCATTTAATTTCCTACAAGGGGAAATTCCGCGTGTATTGGGGAAATGTAGCCACTTAAGGACAGTTTTGTTGAACTCGAACAAATTTTCTGGTGTGATCCCTTCTGAGCTTGGAGGGCTTCGGAAGCTTGAAGTTCTATTGCTTAACAACAATTCATTTACTGGTGAGATTCCCTCAAGTTTGGGAAATTTGACAGCACTTCATGTATGCAACCTCTTATTCAACAACTTATCATTTTCATCAGAAAATAAGACGATAAGAAGGTGTAGCTTTGTTGGAAACTCTTCTCTAACAGTCACCCCAAGGATGTCGTTGGCTTTAGCACCACCGATGAGTCAACAATCGAATGAGTCTCAACGTGTTGCAGCTCCTCCACAAGGGTCTAATCAGTCTAGAAATGATGAGAAAGGACTTGCTGCCTTAGAGATTACTGTTGCAGTATCTGTAGCTCTTGCTTTTGTTGTTGCTCTTGCTGTCCTCGTTTCCTTGTGTAAGAACGGAAAGGAGGAGCCACCATCAGTTCCTAGAGTTGAGGACTCGGTATCACCAGATGTAAGCAATATTACAATATTCAATGACGTTGGAGTAGTTTTAACTTATGAAAAAATTGTTCAGGCTACTAGAAACTTTAGCTGGAGCTATTGCATTGGGACTGGTGGTTTTGGTTCCACCTATAGGGTAGAAATCTCCTCTGAACTTACACTGGCTGTTAAGAGGCTCCTAACTGAAACAGTTGACGGAACTATTCAGTTCGAGGCAGAAATTCAGACCCTCGGAAGCATAAATCACCCAAATCTCATTACACTGATTGGGTATTATAGAAGTGCCACTGATATGTTCCTTGTATACAACTTTCTCCCAGGAGGCAACTTGGAGAAATACATACTCGAGAGGGCGAGCAGAGTTTTTAACTATAAAGTGTTGCATAAAATTTCCCTGGACATTGGTTTAGCTATATCATTTCTACATGATCAGTGTGATCCACGTATTATACACCGGGATATCAAGCCTAGCAATATCCTATTGGACAATGAGTTAAACGCTTATTTGTCCGATTTTGGTTTATCAAGGATCATGGGAACAGGCACCAGCAGCAACACAGCTGTAGCAGGAACATTTGGTTATGTTGCACCAGAATACGCCTTAACAAGTCGTGTGTCTGACAGGGCTGATGTTTACAGCTATGGTGTCGTCCTGCTAGAGCTTCTCTCAGACAAACGAGCATTAGATCCTTCTTTTGCTGCTTATGAGGACGGATTCAACATTGTTTCGTGGGCAAACATGATGCTGCGCGATGACAAGATAGAGGATATCTTCTATACAAGTCTATGGGAACCAGATTCTGAGGAAAAGTTGAAGGCTATGCTGCATTTGGCTGTGAAGTGTACAGCAGACCTTCCTGACAGGCCGAGGATGATTCAAGTCGTCGAGCAGCTGAAGAATCTTCAACCTGAAAACCTTAGAACAATGGAGATTCTGGATTCATCCATCATCGAAGAATAAGTATAGAGAAAGTAACTTAAAAGACTCTTAATAGTTTAATTATGCCTTTTTTTATGCATAGTTTTAGTTTAAAGTTTTATATACTGATGGATAAATGATATATGATGTTATGTTTTACATAAAATCATTACAGTTATTGTGTCAAGTCATTGACTGCACAGTTTAGTTCATGTACTAAACATATATAATGAAATAAACTCAGCTTTTACAAGAATCAGTGAAGTATAACTGATCTCAAATTCGAATAAATGAAAGGTTGTGATAAAAAATTGACGACCAATCGAAAAATAATGAAATTATTAGCTTTTTTTTATCTCAATTTATGTGGTATAATTAGAATTTCGAGAGTCAACCAGATTTTACTTTGACCAAAATTATAGTTTAATATCCAAATATGAGAAACTAACCAAAGTTAAGTGAAACAGGAAATTATCATTTATGTCAGCAATCATTTTTCTCTCTTTGTAAGACTGAAAAGACTTTATTTACTGTAATAAATAGTTTGTATTGTTTTCAAGTATTATCGATTGATATTAAATATGCATATTGATTTTTCTAAAATTCAAATTTTACAAATTAATTGCTTGAGCTAAATTCACTGTAACCCATTTATTACTAGAACAATGAAAAAATATAAGTACAATAAATATATACTTCAATAAAAAAATACTAAAATCTTTAACGATATTAGTTAAATACTATTAGATATCTAGATTCGTATCACTATGAGTTTTAGCCTCACCTACAAAGAGTGCTAACACATAATTGTGAATAGTATTTATCTCATATTTAACGACAACTAAACTATTATTATTAATTAATCTATCGCTAAAAATTATTTCTGATGTAATGAACCATAATTGAATTGCTTGTTCCACCTAAGATGAATTGTCATGTTGTTCGAATTTTTTCAAAGATATTATCTCACTCGCATTAAATCCTCCAAAACATGCAAAATAATCCGACATGAACTTATCGACACCAGAATAGTAATAAGTACTCCTCAGTAAACTTCAATTTTACACCAGCAACCTGAAATCTCTTATGACAATGCTCAAATACCATTGCTCCATATTTCATTAGAAAAATGTGCACAAGTAAAATACATACCTATAAGTTAAGTCCTCATGATGAGAAAGATTAAGAGAAACAAGGAAAGGGAAAAAGGGGTCACAGTTACTGTTTTGCATGATGCATTTTGTGCCTCATGGAAAGGAAGAAGGATTGGGTTTTATAACTATATGCTTGAGAGGGTTCGCGATGTCGCTGCCTCCAGCATGCTTCACAAACTCAGCTGGTGAAAGAAAACTTCCATGACACACACACATAATTCTGATCTCTTCTCCCTTACCATACTTGTATAATATACCATCTATTCTCCTTCCATTAGGACCATCTCCTTTTGCGAAAACACATGGCATGTCGCCCAATGCTTTTGCCTCACTTTCCTGCACTCGACTTCTCGTTGTGTTAGATGGACTAGTTTCCACCTCTCCTCCTAGTGTTCTGCTTCCAAGATCTTTATGTAATGATTGGATACTAGAAGGGCTTGCGTCAGCTGATCCTGCAAGCAAGGAATGTTTTATTTGTCGATGTATTGGAAGAACAAAGAGAAAGCAACGATGGAAAGACAAATCACAGGATCATGGTGTACATTTCATGAGTAGTACAAGTAGTGCAATTGTATGTCATAAACACACAAAGTATACCATACGAATCACGTTAGTCTATGATCGTACCTGTTACAGTGGGTTGTTCCAACACGTTTTGCAGAAGATTCTACACGAGAACTTCACAGGAACCTTTGGAAATAGATAATTGTCTGTTTTCTCTGCTTTGATCATATTTTTTTTAGAACGAAAAGAAAGTGTCGTTAAAGGAAAGGGAAATGTGTATTTAAACACAGCATCTTTTGTTTGAACAACACCTATTTTCCATTTTAACACCTATATGGGTGACCCTTAATTTAATTATTAACTCCATAACTTAGTTATAACAACATCAGGAAGGGAAGTGCATGAGCAATCACAAAAAGGCTAACATGCAAAGTTACTAGACTTTGGAAGATCCCGTCAGTCAAAAACGTAAAGACTCATAAATGACTACTGCTATCAGCTCATCTCCTCCCGGCATCCCATCAGTTGACTCTTTTCTAAAGACTACAAAGGTATAATGAAATAAATCTGATCATCCAAAATCCAGTTTTAAGCTTTAGTACTGGAGAAACTACGGACGTCTAGCCAAATAGGTCACGGCAATTGTAAAATGAGCAAGAGAATGACTTATGGTTTCTGTTAATCAGCAACTACAAGTTAAGATCATTATATGTTCCAGAAAATGGAATAGGTATACGTGGCCAAAGGAGGCAAGCCAGCTTATATTGAGTGCTTCCATAGCCATAAGATGAGCAGCTAGCTGAGCGAGGAAGCAGAAGGATCTTTGATCGGCTCCTCCTCGACATAACAATTGGAAAATTTTCAGGAAATTATACTTGATATGGAAATAAACAATTGAATATACTTCTACTGGAAATTAGGGATTGAATAGTATTACTGATCCGAAATCTGTTCACAAAATGTAGTTCGATAAAGGCACTTCGACTTTTCCACCAGATGAGACACATCATAAACAAGTTCCCATGATTAATATCATCAAAGACCTAATGATAGTGATAGTGATAGTCTTAACACACGAACCTCGGAAAATGATAACACATACCGTTTATGGAACTTTTGGTCAGAAAGAGCTCTATTAGAAAAATGCACCTGTTTCAACTTACGGAGATTTTCCATCGAAGCAAGCCGCGAACAACTTCAATTTTTATTTTGTTTTGCATGGTATAAAAGAACATCATAAAGCTCATCTTTTTAGCATTTTTGTACGAGCTTTTGCCCCATAAAATGACTAATTAACTTTTGAATCACATCGTTCCAGAATTAGCATGTCGAACACCATCTCTAGATGTTTGCTTGGAAGATCTATTATTGGACAGCGTAAGCATTGGAGGTTTCTTATTCGTACCCAACAGAAAGAGAACCGACCAAAATGGAAAAAACAAAAACCCCATGCAGAAACATATTGAATGAAAATGAGAAGCAAGAAACAAGCAAGTGAAGTCATCAGATGTTACGATATTATAGGAATGATAAATGCTTAGATATCAGAACTTGCAAATCTAAAGTGAACAAGAAGCAAGAAGCATCTGATGTGATTGAATAATCCACAATATCTGGTCTGTTTACCTATATAAACACCTGCTATATTTTAGTACAAAATTGTTGAATGTTAGCCCCAGAGCGAGATAAAGCTAAAGAATTTCTTGGACTTGAAAAAAGAACTTATTAGACTGAACTAACCATGCAGAGTTGACTGCGGGATAAAGAAGAGAAATTTAACCATATAGAAAGGTTACTTCACCATATATTGCCAGCAAATTAACTCTCTACCAACCAACCTACGTTGTTTACTGTGTCTTATGTTTTCCTTTGTCGCACCAATAAAAGATTCTTCTTTCGTCATGTAAAGGTATCTAAGAGATGATAAATGTGCGAGCCAAACTCTCCAATGTCATACTCCTTTCCTGTCATATGACAATGCTTTAACGCCTATGGTGTCTAAGATGTCAAAGCTAATTTTATAGTTATATAAGATAAGTAGTAGTGAACAAGCATTAAATAGTGGTTGAAAATTACTTCAATAGAGGAAACTCCATATCACTATATATTAATTTATGAAAACTTCTAACCTACTAGTACTACATCAAACAACCACGAGAATTAAAAGAAAGGAGTATATTAATTTGAGCCTAGTTTGTTTATCAACCACACCAACTTGTTTATCTTGAGCATTTCATAAAGTACTTAAGGGTACATTATTATTATTATTATTTTCCATTTCTTAGGATATGAAATCTTCTTTGTGGCATGCACAAGAGAAATCCAAAAGCCACCTAGAAAATTTTCCGCCCTTGCCCTTGAAGTCGTAATTCTAAAATTTAGAACTTAAAAAATTGAATTTCTAGCTCTATAACTATGACAGACTAAAAAGTACCTCCAAAATACTTGACGCAAACGACAACTCTTAAGATGTCACCAGTAGAAGGCAGTGCAATAAAAACATCTCTGGAATCAAGAACATGGCAAATAACAATTAGAAAGAACACATGCATGTTGGTATGGATAAAAGTAAAAGACAAGATATTAAGGATCTTGACAGCAAAATTCAACAATAAGCACTAGACTTGTTCCACCACAGTAATGTAACATATGATAACACCCCTTTTTAGCCAAAAATAGACTACTCGAAGAAGGATCAAGAGTTCAATGTCAAAGTAAAATGTAGTACTCCCTCTGTCCCAATTTACGCATACTCTCACAAAAAGAGTGTTCTTTCTAGATTTAGTAAGTTTTACGATTCCAACATCTTACATGGAAAGTTTAACAACACAATTATACACATCTTTAACTTTAAAATCACAAGATCACACTCAGTCAAACTAAGACCTTAAATTGGGACGGAGAGAGTACTAGTAACAAAATTCCAATTCTATCTGATTCTCAACTCTTAGCAACTGATAGTAAACAATAGTAACAAAGTAGCATATAATGAATAAGTAAATCAGTATATACATACAAGTTAAACTCATAAATGATTTGCCAATACCTTGTGCAGGTTTGCTTTCCAATTCAGATATACTTGAAGAACAACCACCTTGGGATTCCATTGACCCTTGTGATGCTGGTTTCTTTTTTTCTTGCAAGTAACTTTCTTTCCCTTTTGCCATTGCCATATCATCAGCCCCCAAAGCAGCCAATGTTGGTAACTTACAACCAAACTTTCTTGCAGTAGCCAAGAACTGTTCTTTCTCCAATTTTTTTTTATTATTATTATTATTACCACCTCTCAAATTCATCTGATCAGTCCCTCTATTTTCATCTTCCATACATTTCTCACCCCTTAAATTCCTCTGTACTTTCTCTGATCTTCTCCTCTTAGCCTCCATCCTTCTCAAACTCTGCAATTCCTTCCTTTTCCTCCATTCTAACTCTGTCTCCACTGGCAATGAAGAAGTTCTCACTAAACTAGGATTACAACTCACTGATTGTGATAATGATGATGATACGGCCACTGCATCATCATCTCTAACTGTTGGCAAACAAGCAGCTATAGAAGAAGACCTCACCAATAAATTTGATGAACTCTTATCAACACCAAATCTACCACCTAATGACAACCCAAGATTCAACTCATCTTCATTTATATCCTCTACAATCTCAAGTTCAGATTTTTCTGAAATCCCCATAAATCTTTGCAACAAATCTCTACTTGTATCCAATGAAAGATTCTCCATCTCCACTCTACTTCTCCTCCTCCTCCACTCATCTGCATCACCCATAGTAAAACCACCATACACCAAAAAAGAACTATCAAACTCAACTCTTTCCACATCTTTCTGCATTTTTAAACATTTGTTGATCAAATTTAACCACACCCAAATGGAAAAATCTAATCTTTAACTGCATTTTAGCTCCAAGATCAAGTCTTTACACTAAATTTCAAAAACCCCTCATCAAGAATTGCAAAAACAACAACAACAACTAAAGATGTCATACAAATCAAGAAAACTGTTAGCTGTAACAAGAGAATGTTGTGTTTCCAGCAAAAGGGGTGCCTGAAAAATGAAGAAAACAAGGAAGAGAAAAAAATTTAAAAATGGAAGAATGAAGAAAATGGGGCATGGATTTTTGAGTGTGGAGGGGACAAAGAAAGTAGTATTCAGAGGACAAGTGGCTGAAATTGGTAAGGATGAAGGGTGACACGTGGGTAGGAGTGAATAGTCCCTTTTTGGTGCTGTCTCTAATCAAAGAGTTTTCCAACACATTGATGTTTTAATTATGACTATTTTTAGATGTACTCACTCACATGTGTCAAACTTTTATATGTAACTTTGTTTCATCATATCAAAAACACCCTCCATTCTATTTCAAATACTAATTTAAACCTATTTTTTATTTACGAGTTTCAAATATCTTTCTTTCGAACGTTTGAGGATGAATAATTATTTATTAACAGTGAATTTAACTCCATTTGTTAGGATAATATTTATTACATTTTTGTCGTCTAGACGAATTATTTTAAAATATGAATCATTTTGAAATACATTTATTAGATTTCTTTCAAACGTTTAGAGGTGAACAGTCATACATTTAACTTCATTTGTTAGGATAACATTTATTAGATTTTTGTTGTCTGGATCGATCCTTTTTATTGAATCTTGTTTGTAGCATCTGAATGTGTACTCTCTTTCTAATAAGCGAAGATAAATTTCTAATCTCTAAATAACTAGCACTTAAACAAGGCAGAAATTATTTAGTTCGAAAGTATAATTTGACAGAATATATAAGAATAATATTGAATTGAACGTAGTTTTACTTGTAATTCCTCTTTTGATATTCTAATTCATCTCTTGATACTATTTTATCAATTGGTGAACTAAAATTAGAAATATCATCAATGAGAATTATTAAAAATCATGATATATAACAATGAAATTTCGACAAAAACAAAAATTGTAAAACATTATTTTCATCATTCAAATATTAATAAATTTTAATTGGGATTAAGAGATATATTTGTTTGTCTATCTTAAAACAACAACTATACTTTTTTTCTTAGAGAAACTTTTAATTGGGGGATAAGATGAATTTTCAATATCTTCAAGGAGTAATTTGCAATATCAAGAGAAAGAAAAATGTTGTTAGACACTTGTCAAGTAATGAAGAGAGACAACATGAAAGATTGACACGTGTCAATGAGGATCTTTTTGTTTTATTTTCTCTTTATTATTTTTTGTAATAAAATTTAGGATGAGTTGTCAATAAAAGAAGGGAAAAGGGGTCAGTCCTTTTCGAATAATTTGATGCTTTTCCCAAAATGGAGTTTTATTTATTTTATTATAAAGAAAGTTTTTTTTTTTTTGAGTACTACTTAGCATGGCATGACACGTGGTTGATAATGTTTTTCTCACTATTTGGTCAAATATTGGATATTTTTAGTAAGAAATACACCATCCATAATCATGCTCATGTTTGAACAAAAAATAATTGGTTAATATTTGATAAAAATTAAAATTATAGGAAAAATAATTTAAAAATTGTACGTGGAATCGAATTAACACTTCTCAAATCAGGCTAGACTTATTTTAAATAAGATGGGGGAATTGTTCGTGATCACAAAGATAATAATTAGTGGGCTTGTGCCTGGTTTTATGAATAAATAAGCTAGTTATTTTAATGTCTTCACATAATTAATTGAAAATCAAGATATTTTGATTTTTTTTTCATGAATAAAGTGAAAAGTTGTCACGATATAGTTTGTTCTAATTTCACAAAACACGAAATTTTGAGATAATATCAAAGACAATTTAATTGTCATATCAAAATTTATGTAGAATGTCTCAATCCAGTTTCTGTTATTTGTGATGTATTCATGTATATACTTTTTTCGTGATATCAAATTATTACGAACAAAAAATAATAACGATTAGTATATGCAAAACACTAATTGGGATATGTAACTATTTTCATGTGATGGAATAAAAGGACAAGAAATGCTAGATATATTATTTAGGAATATTATGCGGCATAGGTAATAATATTTTAACGTGATATATATCTATTGAATATAGTATTTTAAGGCTTTGGTGAAGCTTTTTTATTGATTGACGAATTACTATTGTTACTTATAAATAGTAATTTTACCTTATTAATAATTTTCATTAAAGGAGATTTAAATAAATCTGATCCTCATCTAACGCGTTATTATATTTCAAATAATCTAATATTTAGCAATATGGCTTGAGAAAAATTCTTGGGCGCAGAAATTTATTATATTTAAGTTATAATAATCTCCTTATGGGAACCATTAGAGATTGTATTGTGATATGAAAAACTTAGAATTTGTGAGTTTTCATATATTTTAGGTGTTTTTAACTTCATTTTAGTGTCGACTTAATATGTCCAACATTGTGCGTAAGAATTACCATGGTGAAAAAACATAGTTAATGTTATCATTTTTCGAATTTTGTTAAGGTGAAAAAACATACATACATTAACCATCACAAGGTATTTGCGTTCTTTGAAGATAACTTTCTTGATCTATGTTAGACGTCTTTTTCAACGTTACCCTCCAACGTGGCCTCTCTCCAACCTTACTCTTGATGCTGGATTGAAAATAATCATTCTTAAGTTATTAAAGCTTGATTGAGTACATGGTTCCCCCATTTCGATAATTTTCGTGTGTCATAACATATCATTTTTTAGGTGATTCAGATTCTGACGTTAAAAATGTCAAATTTTTTTGTGGACGTCCATCAAGACCTTGGCTAAGCAGCCGATTGTCCCTCACGGCTAGTGCGACACATTTTAAAGGTCAAACGAGCCCGAAGCGCGCATACCTCCCATTTCGTCGATTTTCTTCTGCTATAGCACATCATTTTCTTGGAGATCCGTATTCCGATGTCAAAAATGTCAAAATTTTTGTGGACGTCCGTCAAGACATTGACTATGCAGCCGGTTGACCCTCACGGCCATTTCGACCCATTTTCGAGGTGAAACGAGATCCGAAGCGCGCACACCCTCCGTTTCGTTGATTTACGTGTGCTATAACATACCATTTTTTTGGTAATCTATATTACGACGTCAAAAATTCCGAAATTTTTTGTGGACGTCCGTCAAGACCTTGGCTATGCATCCGGTTGGCCCTCATGGCCAGTTTGACCCATATTCAAGGTCAAACGAGCCACAAAGAGCGCATACCCCCCCCCCCCCCCCATTTCAATGATTTTCGTGTGCTATATAGCACACCATTTTTTGGGTGATCCGTATTACGATGTCAAAAATGCTGAAATTTTTTGTGGACATCCGTCAAGACCTTGGCTATGCAGTCGGTTGGCCCTCACGGAAGGTCCGACCCATTTTAAAGGTAAAATAAACCCCAGAGCGCGCATACCTACCATTTCGACGATTTTCTTGTGCTATAGCACACCATTTTTTAGGAGATCCGGATTCCGACGTCAAAAACGCCAAAAGTTTTTGTGGACGTCCGTCAAGACCTTGGCTATGCAGTCAGTTGGACCTCACGGCCAGTCCGACCCATTTTGTAGGTCAAACGAGCCCCGAATCGTGTATACCCCCCATTTCGATGATTTTCGTGTGCTATACCATTTTTTGGGTGATTCGAAATCTAACGTAAAAAATGTTGAAATTTTTTGTGGACGTCCGTCAAGACCTTGGCTATACAGCCGGTTGGACCTCATGGCCAGTCCGACCATTTTAAAGGTCAAATGAGCCCCGAGGCGCGCATACCCCATGTCTCGATGATTTTCGTGTATTATATAGCACACCATTTTTTGGTTGATCCAAATTCCGATGTCAAAAATGCAAAAAAAATTTGTGGACGTCCGTCAAAACCTTGGAAATGTAGCCGGTTGGCCCTCACGGCCAGTCCGCTCCATTTTAAAGAACAAACGAGCCACGAAGCGCGCACACCTCCATTTCGATGATTTTCGTGTGCTATAGCACACCATTTTTTTGGTAATCCGTAGTGCGACGCTAAAAATGCCAAATTTTTTTGTGAAAGTCCGTCAAGACCTTGCCTATGCATACAAACGGCCCTCACGGCCAGTCCGACCCATTTTCAAGGTCAAACGAGCCCCAAAGCACGCATACTATCCATTTCGACGATTTTCGTGTGCTATAGCACACCATTTTTTGGGTGATCCGGATTCTGACGTCAAAAAAGTCAAAAAAAATTGTGGACGTCCTTCAAGACCTTGGCCATGCACACCGGTTTTGCTCGAATATTTTTTTTCTTCTTTGATTTACAGTTGATGCCTAGTGATGGACTGTTTGATTTCAAATTGAGTGTGTTTGAGTTGTTAGAGGTATAATCTATGCTCTTGTGTTTGTTGTTGTTTTGTTCGTCGATGATATGGCTTTAATCACTGGTTCCATCGAATGATTTTAATCAATTATGTTTTAGGAGTTATTTATCGATTTTATTTAAGTTTGGTTAGCATAGTTTCTAGTTTTCTGGTTGTTTTACTGTTCCTATAGTTCAGCTTGTGTGTTTACTTCCTTTTACTTACTAGATTAATTTGAGTAATTGTTTTTCTCATTCCTGTGATACGTGGAGCTTTGGTCTTAACAAAGTCAGATGATTTGAAAGAGCGAACTGGGAGGTTGCGACTATCCACCTAGTTCTTGTGATTTTTTGAGTGTTACAAATTTCACATTATATTGCGCTCGAAGCCTCTGAAAATTCCCCACACTTAGACCTAAATCCCTTGGATTTAATCGTGTCTTAGGAATTTCGAACTGATTGTCCGAACTTTGAACAGTGATCAAAGTCAATTTCTTAACCTAAATGCACTTAAACTTCCAACTCAAGAGCTCAAATCCACGTGAAGAGTTCGAATTGATACATAAATTCCTAGATCAAATTATTCATTCCGAAGCTAATGGCACTAACTAAATTTCATTTGAAACAAATAGTTTTGATTGTTTACAAAGACCACTTGTAATAACTTAACGTCTCCAAACTCTAAAGCTTCCAAAATAACCACAATTTTTTTTTATTGATTTCAAAACAAAATTTGTAAACTGACCAAACATAGCTCAGGTCAACTATTGAGAGATATAAAACAATATTGTTTCAAAAAGGAAAAAGAGTCTGATATAAAATGATATTTTACATTTTATTTTATAAAAAAAAAATTATTTTCTTGGCAAGAGTAGGATTTTTGATGTAATCATAGAAAACCTT